CTCCCAGTGTTGCAGGGCTGTGGCCAGGGGCCGAGGCCTTCCGGCTGGCCGCTCATTAAAAGGGGATTAGGCCAGGAGCCAGGGGCCAGCCCAGTCCCCAAGCCTTCCTCTGAGGCCTTTCTCAGCTTTGGGGAAGTGATAAAGGGGCTGAAGGGCCACCCCTCCCCAGAGCATGTGAGGGTGTCTAGGAGGGACTGCTTGGGGTCTGCCACTACCATCACTATATTCTTTTCCACCTCAGTTTCCCTCTTCAGAAGGGCGAGAAGTCTGTCTTTCCAGCACTGACAAAGACCCTGGCCAGCGACTCCCCACCCCAAACATTTCTCTTCAGCTCAGGGATTAGGGCTGGATCAGCCCACATGAGGTCAGAGGTCAGGGCTAGGCTGCAGGGCCCTGTCCATCACTCTTCTGGTACCCAACACAGCCGGGGGAAGTGATGCTGTCAGTCAGAGCCTGCTGCTTTGTGGAGCTGTAACCAAGGGGGCGGGACGCCCACCTCTGCTCCAAGACCCTCTTTTTTGCAACAGCCCCTGTCTCACTGACAGCTGACCTGGTGTCCTAGAGACAGGCAGCAGGGGTGGGGGACCGCCCACTCAGGGGTCCGGGGATGAGGGTTGTAAAACCGCCTCCCCAGGGCCCATGTCCACCCACCACCTCCTTCAGATGAGGGCTTCCCAATTGCTTCCCAGAGATGAAAAAATAGAGACCTTAGGATTGAGCCCCTATGCCCTGAGAATGTTTCTGCCTCTGGACTTTTGCTGGCCATTCTGGGCCAAGACCATCGGTGTGTAATGGCCATGGGGGAGAGCTAGAGGCTGGGAACAGCTGCGGAAATGAGGTGTCTGATACCAGAAAAGGCTCTTCCTTCCTAGAGACGGGAAAGGCCTTCCCGGATGTCCCCCCACCTAGCTTATGCCTTGGTTGGGCTTAAGCCCAGGAGGCATCCCGCAGGCACACCCCCTCACCCAAGGGCCTGGATATCAAAGTTTATCCAGTCCTGAGTCCTGACAGCCACAGAACCCTCACTTGTGCCTAGCCCTCTCCTCTAATATTGCCATAGGAATGGGGGAAGGGTTGCAGTCCTGCCACCATAACCACACCTGGGACAAGTGGGGCAGAGATGGATGGGGACAGGCCTGAGGACATGATCAGACTGGGTTCACAGCAGCCCTGACCTCTTCTCACTGATACCTCTTTGGGCCCCTGAGTCTCCTTGGACCAAGTCCTTGCCCCTTAGGGGAGCTGGAGACCAGTGGGGTATTGCCCCTGCTGACCAGGGGTCAGAAGTGACAGAGGAGAGTTCCCAGGACTAGCCAGGGCTCCAGCCCATTCACCAATCTTCTGCCCTGAGTCATTGTTCTTCTGCCCAGAACAATGAAGATCCTCGGTTCCTGGGCCTAGTTCCTTTGCTTGAGGTGGGAGTGGGACAGTATACCACTTGCAACCCTTACCCTGTGACCTAGGGTGACCACTACTCTCTCATGGGCCTTAGTTTTCCTACCTGGAGCTAGGGGTACAGTGATGTCATGGGGCCCCTTGTTTCAGTTCTTCCCTATGATCTGGCATGAGTGGGGTTTATATCCTGGTCATGAATTGGCAAGGCCAAAGCCCTATACCCAGTTCTCTCTGTGACTGTCACCCACCTCTCTCTGCCTTAGTTTCCCTTTCTGTAGGATGGGTTAAGGTAGATGGTTTGAGATTTAGCTTTTGCTCCTGTAGGTCAGGGATGGTGCAGACAGGTTGGAGTAGGCTGGATGGGTTGGGATGAGTCAACAGGAAGCTCCTTCTTGCCCCATTGCTCTCTCTGCTCCCCTCTCCAGTACTGGAAAATGGGGTAGCAGGGATGGGAATTTGGAACCTCATTCTTCTCCCTTCTCCCCCTCCCCCCTCTGCCCTCAGGGCAGAGACTGCCCATGAAGTGTGGTGGGTGAGAGGAGGGCCCAGATGTAAGCATCTCTCTAAGATCACTGTATGCCTCAAACCCTAGGATCACTGTGAATGTTGATAGTAGAAAGGTCCCAAGAGATAGTCTAGATTGGAAACTGAGGCTTAGAAAGCCAGTGTCCCCACTGGGGCACAAAGCCCAGGCCAGAGCCCAAACCATCACTGAGGTTTCCTGACCCCTGGTCCCACCCTTTCCCCATCCTCACACCTCCCGGGATCTGCCCCCACCCCCACCCCAACACACACACACGGTTTCCACAGTGACTGAGACATCACGTCCTGTGATGAGAACCATTGACGCCATATCCTGTGGCCACTGGTAGGGATCCCGAGGGTCCTGAGTCACGCACCCTGTCATGGAGGAAGAGTCACCTTCCGGCCGTGGCCTTCCTGGCGAGGCTGTCTCCAGCAGGATTGGCTTCCCTTGGAGCTCCCCTCCTTCAGCCAAAAGTCCAGTGACCTGGAGGGGGGTCCCACATACATCCAAACACCTTGGCATTTCTCTTTCCTTCTCTGTGCCGTGATGCTCTCATCTATAAATTGGATATTGTGAACACAAGGCTTCCCACAGAGTGGTGCTTGATAACTGAATGGAAGCCCCTCCCCACTTCTGTCCAATGACAGATTGGGGCTGGGAGGTGGATAAGGCAGAAAGTTAAAAGGCAGGATGTTGCTCAAGGCTAGTCTCCTACCCCCTCTAGGTCTCAGTTTCCTCATCTGTTGAATGATTCCTGCCCTGCCTTTCTCACAGATCTGGAGCTGGGGAATGCTGGGGCTTTGGGCTTGGATGGTAGTCTTAGATGTGGGGTTTGGGCCCTGGGACTCATAGCACAACAGAAAAGGAGGATCTAGATTATTGAGGTCCAAGGCTGGGAGGGGTGCGGGCTAAAGGTTATGACTCGTTGGATCCCCAGAGGCTAGATGTCTGGCACTTTCACCCATCCCAGATGCCTTTGTGTGAGTCTGAAGGTGCCCCTATGAAAGCCGCCCCCCCCCCCGCATTGTGCCCAAAGCATCCTGTAGCCCAGCTGGATGGGTAAGGGCAACATCAAGGCCATGCCCCCAGCTGGGGTATAAATAACCCCTGGCAGGCCATCCCAGCTGGTGGGGGGGGGGCTCCGCTGGCAGCCCTGCTTCCTCTCTGGCCACTTCCCAGCCCTGGGGGTGGTGGAGTGTTTACTTTCCTGTTGTCACTATGGCTGGGTGGCCAGGCAAGGGACTCCGAGTGGCCTGACAACAGATGCGGGACAGGTGCCTGGGCTTCCCTACCCAGGACTTCAGAGGCACCGCCGGATAGGCCGGTAAGGCCGAAGCCAGGCAGGGATCGGCCCTTTGATCCTTGGGCGTCCCTGCGTCCCAGCGGTTGACCAAGGTCATCACCTGTATTCCCTTGTCACTGTGAGTCAGAGCTGGGCAAGGCAAGGCCTCTTCCTGCACCCTAGCCTTCTAGTGAGATCCTGGTACTAGACATAGGCTCTGGGACTGCTGTAGGAGCCCCCTAGCCTTAGCCCACTTTTATCCCACACCCATCTTGGAGTTCTGTCTGAAACTGCTCTCAGAGAAAGCCTCTCAGATCCCTCTGCAGGGTCCCTAGCACACAGCAGGGGTCAGAGTCAGCCAGGCCATTCAGGGACAGCTGCCTTGTGTGGAGGGCGACCTTGAAGGATGGGATGGGGCCACCACCGCTGCTTCTGCCTTCAGGCTGTCCAGCGTCTCAGACCTCAGCTGTTCTCCCCTTGCAGGTGCATGGCCCAGGCCTCTCCCTTGATTGCCCCACCTGTGAAATGGACTCTCAGCTGTGGGAAGGGGGATGGAATGTGTGTGATCTCTTTGGTGAGCGCTTCCTCTGATGCAGGACACGTCGTGCATGTGTGCATACCTGGGTCATGTGTATACGTATGTGTGCTCTTCTCTGTGTTGTCATCTGAGCCTCCTATGCTGGTGAATATTCATCACTTTCATTACAATCCTCCTTCTCCTGCTGAGCTTAAAATAGCTGGGGGTGGAGTAGGGGTTTGCCAAGGGGACCCTCTGCACCCCTCTCACCACCCCCATCTCTGCCCCACCAGAGACAGGTTCCTAAGCTTCCTGGAGTCCGGTGTCTGACATTGGCCAAGCTCCTTCCTGTCCTTCACCCCAGGAAGGAGGGCTTTTCGTCAGCAACCTGGGAATGGGCGGGCCTAGGCTACTCAAAGGTACAGGCCCCAAAAGAGAAAACAGGATCCATTTGGACCCTGCCCCTAGCCCTGGGGACTCTCCCACACAGGTGGAGTCCTCTTTCCCTGGGAATGACTGCTCCTGGTTGACTTAAAGTGGCCTGAGAACCATTAGCAGTCCAGTGGGGTCAGCGTAGCCCTGCCAGGCTCTGGAGCCAACCTGGCATGTCTAGGTGGAGCCACTACGTGCGTGTGAGTTCTGGAGTCCCTCACACCACCCCCAGGGCTAAGGGAAGTGGGAAGTCTGTGGGGCAGCATGGCTCCAGCAGGGGCTCCCAGTATCCTGCAGTGGGGACCCTTCTGTGTGCCAGCTTTGCTCTCAGCTAGGGGGTAGGGGCAGCTGGGGTGAGGACAGGGCAACAGGGCCCTATGCCAGTGTCTGGAGGCTGTCCTGGCTGCACACTCCTCCCATCCTCACTCCCACCTGTTCATTAACCCTTTTAACCCCTGTGGGAAGCTGACCCAACCCTGAACATGGGAACATTGACCTAACCGGAGCCTAAAGAGTCTCTGATGCCATCACGCGCCCTGACCTGCACCCACTGCCTTTTCATTGGGAGCCAGATGAATCAGGGGTTTAGCTTCGGGTGTGGCCCCTTCCCTAGCCTACCCATATGCTCCATTTTCTCCTCTCTACCCTGGATAGGGACTAGAGAGGGGCCACAGTAAGTTCTGAGAGAGGACCTGGGGGCTTAGGCCAAGAGTGGAATAGGGGCCCTGAGGAACTTGAACCTCAGCCCTGCCACTTCCCTGAGGAGGCCTCTGTCCCCACTCTCTGAAAGAAGGTATGGCTGGGTGGTCTTTAAGGGTCCTAACTGCTGCTCTGATTTCCATCCACAGAGCTTAAGGCTACAGGAACCGCCCACTTCTTCAACTTCCTACTCAACACGACTGACTACCGAATCCTGTTTAAGGACGAGGACCATGACCGCATGTACGTGGGCAGCAAGGACTATGTGCTGTCTCTGGACCTACATGACATCAACCGCGAGCCCCTCATTGTAAGGGCGGGCACAGATGCAGGCCATGGGGGACAAGGGTCCTGGGACCACGGGGCTGAGGGCTGCGTCTAGCAGATGCAACCTCTGATCCCTTCATCTCTGGTAGATCCACTGGGCGGCCTCCCCACAGCGCATTGAGGAGTGCGTGCTCTCAGGCAAAGATGGCAATGTGAGTGCTGAGGGCCCCACAGGTGGGATAGGGGCTGGGTGACCCAACCCCCCAGGAGTGAATGGGACCAGGCAGGCACCTGGACACCTTCATGGCTCTTCCTCTGGCCCCAGGGCGAGTGTGGGAACTTCGTCAGGCTCATCCAGCCCTGGAACAGAACACACCTCTATGTGTGTGGGACAGGCGCCTACAACCCCATGTGCACCTATGTGAACCGAGGCCGCCGTGCCCAGGTAAGCTGCATCCACCCTGGCCCTGTGCTGCCCTCCCTGGTGGCTGTGTTCCAGGGTCCTGATGGGAAGATGGACTTGAACCTCAGCCCTGCCACTTCCCAGTCCTGTGACCTTGGACAAGTGATTTTGCTCATCTGTCTGAGCCTCCAATTCCTCATCTGAAAATGGGGCTACAGGTCGATGTGAGGAGGAAGCAATGAGCTAATCTTCTCAAAACTTTTAGCGCTGTGCCTGGCATGTAGTGAGCACTCGCTCCATACATGGCAACAGTTCTCTTGGCTATGCCTGTGGTCAGCACCCCTGCGGCCAAGCCAGAGGGCCTGGCGGGGCCTCAGCATCAGGGGGCTGGATGCCTGGGTCAGCTTCTACTGCGTGGCCTGGGGAGAGCATCTTCCTCCCCCCGGTTCAGGAGCTTGGGGGAACTGCTCCTGCCCAGCTCTGCCCTACCCTGCCTGCTTCTGCACTTTTCCATTTCCATGTGGGCACGTGTGTGAGCTGATGTGACCTCATGGGGCACGTGTGACAGTGACAACTGAAGGGGCACATGTGTGTGCGGGCCTGCACCAAGTCTGTGTGTATGTGTGTGCGTGCATATGTGTACTCTGGGATGCATGTGCTCATGTGTGTGCCTGGTATGTGTGGCATAAGAGGTTGGCAGCCCGAGCCCGCTCCCCCAGCCCCTGCCCCCAGCAGCTCTAACCCCTGTTCCTCATCTCCTCAGGCCACGCCATGGACCCAGATGCAGGTGGTGAGAGGCCGAGGCAGCAGAGCCACTGATGGTACCCTCCGCCCGACGCCCAAAGCCCCACTCCAGGTGGGCCTCATCCTTCCAGGCTCTCACCAAGCAACACTGCTCTGAGCTGAACTCATCCTGGGCCTTCGGCCAGGAACGTACACCCCAGGCCAGCCTCCCCAAGGTCTTTCTGGACCTTAGTGCCTCACCCCTTCCCCGAAGTGCCCACAGGCTTAGAAGGTATTCCCTGCTGGACCCATATCGGCCTCAGTGTGACCCCTGTAGGCAAGGCAGGAAGTCATGGTGCCATCAAGTGGGGAGGATAGTCACCCTGAGGACAGACATCAGAGGCTCTGCCACTTGCAACATATGTGTGTACACACACATGAGCACACACCAGCATGCACTTGGGCACACATATGTGCACCCTCAAACCTATACCTGACTGTGCCCAGAGTGAGCCAATGGTCCACACATGTAGTCACACCCATTGCTCTCAGATGTCCATGGCAGTGCCTCCCACAGGTCACCCAGTGAACACTCAGGGGTTTCTTCCCCTGGGGTGGGGAGGACAGAGCTATCTGTCCGCTAGTGACCTGGGACTGGGTTGGGGGAGCTGGGGCTGGGCAGGGGCGGGCAGGGGACAGGGGCTGCCAGTGAATGATGAGCAAGTGGTCACTGGAGCATGTGTCCATTAGGGAGTGCTGCAGAGCAGGATGGACGCAGACAGAATGTGTGTCTGTGTTGTGAGCAGTGGTTCCGAGTGCTGGCTGTGATGTGTGCTGAGTTGTGTGTGCAGCCCCTATGTGTGCAGAGTGTAACCGGAAGCAGGCCTGTGTGCACCTTCCCATCACCATCCCTGCCACTGCTGCTTCCTCCTCCGTCTCTGTGCCTCTCTCCTTCCCTTCTCTCCATCTTTCCCTCGTGGCCCATGAGCTCATTCTGGTCCTACTGCCTTCACCAGCCTCCCTCCTAGCATCTTCAGGGCTGAGCCAGGAGGCACAGGGGACTTGGTGAATTCTGTGTGGTCCAGGCTAGACCCCTCAACTCCTGACTCCCTGGGGAGAACTATGGAACTGGGAACTCTGCCAAGGGGCAGGGAAAAAGGCCATGGCCTACTAGTCCCTTTCTGAGGACCACAGGTAGGGGACGCAGCTTGGGGATGCAGTGACCTCAAAGCCCCCTGACCTGGTAGGACCTGATGACAAGGACAGACCCCAGGCCCTCTGTCGGTGACCCTTGGTCAGGTTTGCAGCCCTCCTTGGCCCAAAGAGTTGTACCTCTATGGCCTAAAAGGGCCCTGGGCAGAGTCCTCCTGAGCCAGTTGGCATGAAGGGGCTTTAGTCCCACCTCATGGCCCTGAGGTGGGGCCCTCCAAGACCTGATCTTCCCTGAGACCTGAGACCAGGAAGAACCACCCTTGGAACCCATAGCATTCCTACCCTGGGAGACCTGGCTGGCTGGAGTTCAAGCCCGAAGAGATCTGGGGGATGCAGAGGGGACCTTCAGGATGGGCTCATTCTTTCCCTGGGCTCCTGATGACCCTTGCTTGCACTCTTTGGCTGTGGGACCAGCTTGGATGGTGCTGAGGCCCTCTCTGTCCTGCAGGATTACATCTTCTACCTGGAGCCTGAGAGACTCGAGTCAGGGAAGGGCAAGTGTCCGTATGACCCCAAGCTGGACACAACCTCAGCCCTTATCAGTGAGTGCCCCCACCCAACCCCTGTCCGATAGGCTGGACATGTGACCTCTGCATCTAGAATGGGGGTGGGGAGGGAGGACACCAATGTATAGTCCAGGGCTAAGAACAAGAAACCAGACCCCTACAGGGCCCCCCCTCTGGTGGAGGGAGAGGGGAGAAAGGCAGTCCCCAGGTGTTGAACTGGGGAGCAGAGCCCAGGTGATATGACCTTCAGCCCTTCCAGGTGGGGAAGCTAAGGGGCTAGATATTGTTGTTGTTGTTGTTATGTGCCACTGAGTCAGACCCAACTCATAGCGACCCCTTTTTGGGTTTCCAAGGTGGTATCACTACGGAAGTAGATTACCCAATTTTCCTTCCGAGGAGTGGCTTGTGGGTTTGAACTGCCAGCCTTCTGGTTAGCAGTCAAGTGCCTTAGGCACTATGCTATCAGAGCTCCTGCCCTGGCTTTAACCCAGAGCCCCCTAGGCCTGGCGAAGAGGACAGGCTGAGTCTAGATTATTTGTCTGGGAGGTGGGAGAGGCACATAAGGAGGCACCAATTGGCATCTCTGGCCCTATGGCTAGCTAGGCTATGTTTCATGGGCACCTGTCTGGGTAAGTTGAGGGCTCTTTGCTGAGGAGAGGTCCTGCCTCAGGAGCAGCTGCTACCCCCACTCCTAAGTTGGGCAAGCCCTCACTGACCCTGGCCCCTATACTCTGCCTGTTTTCTTCCTGTTGAACCCAATCTGCTTCTCAAAGCAGCTGCCAGGCACTGTGCCACCTCCAAGGCTAGGAAAGGCCCTTGGGTAGGGGTGACCATTACCCTCCCCTTGGCTAGGGAGGTAGCCCCAGCTTGATGGCAGAGCCTAGGACCAGGCATAGCTCGGGGAGTCTAATAGCAGAGACAGAGCCTGCCCTGGGGGAGTCTGAGAGGAAAAACAAGGAGTGGTGTGTTGGAGCCAGCTCAATGGTAAAATTTTCAGGAATTTTGTGAGCCGATTGTTAAACACAATATTATTAAAAGTTAAATTCTATAATTTTTTAATTTTAGTTTTTATTGTGATTTGGGTGAAAGCTTACAGAAAAAATTCATTTTCCATGCAGCAGTAAATTCCAGAAATTTACAACTAAATAAATTATATGAAAAACAAAGGTAACAAATACTCAAAACTCATTACTTCCTAATTATTTTACTACACTTCACTATTTATGCTCTTGAGGTTATTTATGTCTATTGTATCTGTGAGGTGAAAATACTATGCAATGGTTTTAGCCTCTCTTTCCAACTTTCAGTGGTGTCAGGTTAGTAGCTTGAAAAGGACCATTATAAGAGAGTATTTATGCCACAGGAATTGGCCATTGTTAGTAATCAGGTTTTCCCCTCACCCGGCCTCACCTTCCAACCAGTTGTTAACAGCTTACCCACACAACACTGGAGCTCTTGTCCTGGGGAATCTGAGGGAGAAGACAGGGTCCTGTCCTAGGGTCATTCAAGCCCCTTGACTGACCCACCTACCCACCTACAGACGAGGAGCTCTATGCTGGTGTGTACATTGATTTCATGGGCACTGACGCAGCCATCTTCCGCACACTTGGAAAGCAGACGGCCATGCGCACGGACCAGTACAATTCCCGGTGGCTCAATGGTGAGCACAGCATGCAAGACCTTAGATGCGCAGCGTGTCAGAGAGATCATGAAGAAGACTGACGGGGAAATCTTCAGCCCTGTGACTAGCTGGGGAGCGGGGAGTTTCTTGTGTGGGCAAGACCTGAGGGTGTTCCTGTGCCCAGGCATTCTGTTGGGGAAGAGGATGTTGTGGGAGGAAAAGTTTGCCCAGCTTATGGCCTACCTGCCCTCAGATCCTTCATTCATCCACGCTGAGCTCATCCCTGACAGCGCAGAGCGCAATGATGACAAACTCTACTTCTTCTTCCGGGAGCGGTCAACAGAGGCCCCTCAGAGCCCCGCTGTGTATGCACGCATCGGCCGTATCTGCCTGGTAAGCACAGTCCGGGCCCTTTGCTGGCCCTCACTGGGCCCAGCCCTGGCTCCCATCAGCTCTGCCCAGCAGGGTCTGGGAATGAGTGAGCTGAACTGACCACTGCTCCCTGCCCTCTAGAATGATGACGGTGGTCACTGCTGCCTGGTCAACAAGTGGAGCACATTCCTAAAGGCACGACTGGTCTGCTCAGTGCCAGGTGAAGATGGCATTGAAACCCACTTTGACGAGCTCCGTGAGTACCCAGCCGGCAGCCTATGGCTACAGCAGGAGGAACTGAGTTGGGGTAAAGGGGTAGTGTGCCTTCAGTAGGCCCCTGGGCAGGAGTGGGTGGGGCCCTGGGGCTCGTGGCTAAGACACACTCCTAGCCACTTTTCCCTCTGCCCCCAGAGGACGTGTTTGTCCAGCAGACCCAGGACGTGAGGAACCCCGTCATTTATGCCGTCTTTATCTCCTCTGGGTGAGGCTGGTGCCCAGGCCAGCAGGGGTGGGTGTGGCCAGACTCAGGGAATGTGACTTGGGGAGGACCCCAGCTTGGTGGTATGGTGAGCCATGGGGTAGGGGCAAGCTGGACAGGGGCCCTGGGCCGAGGGTCTGCCTTGCCCACAGCAGTGGCCTGCCCCACCCACAGCTCCGTGTTCCGAGGCTCTGCCGTGTGCGTCTACTCCATGGCTGACATTCGCATGGTCTTCAATGGGCCCTTTGCCCACAAGGAGGGCCCCAACTACCAGTGGATGCCCTTCTCAGGGAAGATGCCCTACCCACGGCCCGGCACGGTGAGGACCCCACTCACTCCCACCTCTCCCCTTTTCTTCTAAGAGTCTTGGTCCAGGCCAGGCTCTATAGACATTGTCCCCACCATCATGGTGCTCACAGACTGGTAAGGGAGGTGGCCCATAACACATAAATAAGCCCACCATGTACATACAGCATCAGCTAAGAAGGAACCCACAGGATCCCAAGACAAAGACGGTGGGCTGGGTTGGACAGCTACTCTGTGGAGGGCCCTCAGAGGTGATGTTTCTGAGCTAAAGGTCAAAAGGAATAGCTGGAGCTTAGTAGGAGCTTAGTAGGCAAGGAGTTGGGCAGTGGGCAGGGACCAGGCCTGCAGGGGCTCTGCAGTCAAATGAGGAGCTCCCTTTTATCTCAGTGTGATGGGCTGCTGCAGGGGTATAAGCAGGAAAGCGACAGGATCTGATCAGAGGCAGCAAGCAGTAACGGTTCCACATGGTCAGCCCTGAGAGGCTGGTCTCAGCATGCTTCCTCCCGCAGCCCTGGGAGGATTGGCCAGAGTTAGGCTGGCAGAAGTAGGGAGCAGACTGAGGGAACAGCATCAGGGAAAGGGGAGAGTGCCTGGTGCGTGCAGGGAACCTCAGGGCCTGCAGTCCAGCTGAGCAGGAAGGAGAGGGGTGAGACCGGGAGGAAAAGCCAGAGAGGAAAGAGACAGTAGGGTGGGGTGTGAGGACATGGAAATGGAGTGGTCAGCTCTGCCAAACACCACAACAAGGTCATGGCATACGAAGCTGAGGAGGTGGCCATGGGATTTGGCCTCTGTGGGACCTTGGGACCTTGGCTGGAGTGGGCCCTGCTGAGAGGTTGGGATGTGGGGGCACAAGCCTGGCTGGGGGATTTTGAGGAGAGGGGCATGTGGAAATAGTGGGGGCAGACAGTGTAGAGACCTCTCCTTAAGCTAATGGGTTCAGTGTGCCCCACCTGGGCGGGCAGGCACTGATGGGGCCACCTGCCCACAGTGCCCTGGTGGAACCTTCACACCATCCATGAAGTCCACCAAGGACTATCCCGACGAAGTGATCAACTTCATGCGTGGCCACCCGCTCATGTACCAGGCCGTGTACCCGCTGCAGCGGCGGCCCCTGGTGGTGCGCACAGGCGTCCCGTATCGGCTCACCACTGTCGCCGTGGACCAGGTGGATGCAGCCGACGGGCGCTATGAGGTGCTTTTCCTGGGCACAGGTACCCGCTGCTGCTCCTAGCCCCTCCCACGCTGGGCCCACTGGGTGGGGGGTGATGCTCCATAGGGCCTGGGACCTGCCCTGCTAGGGGTTGCTGCAGGTTCGTACAGGTCAGCTCTGCCACCCTCTTCATCTGGAGCCCTACTGCTGATTGCCAGGGTAGCTAAGGTCAGGGAGGGGAGACCCTGTTCCCATCCCCAGGAAGCCAGGAGAGCAGGGTCACTATTAGGGTACCTGGGGACCATGTGTAGACAGGAAATGGGGAGACAGATGTCAGACACTGGCAAGACACACAGGTCCACATACTGAGATGTGTATAGATGTACACACACACACACACAGCCATAGCTCTAGCACAGAGAAATACCTCCTGGGTCCTGTTCACTCCAGGGCCCAGAATAAGGGTCTGGAGTGGGAGAGCAGACCTTGACCATGACTTCCCTTGCTCTGGGCCAGTCCCCCCCAGACCTCTTGGTCTGGGCCCCTAATCCTGGGGAGACTCTTCTATTTTGGCACAGAACCCTTGCTCTGCTACCCTCAGGGGGTTTGGGCCATGGTGGGGGAAGGGGCTGAGGCTGGTGCCCCTCCCCCAGCCCCCCAGTCCCACTGAGGTCCTGCCCGGCCCGTTCCAGACCGCGGGACAGTGCAGAAGGTCATCGTGCTGCCCAAGGATGACCAGGAGATGGAGGAGCTCATGCTGGAGGAGGTGGAGGTCTTCAAGGTGGGTGCAGCACCACCCAGTCCTACCCTCCCAGCTGAGCCCCTGACTTCAGACCTCCAGGGCAGGGCAGGCAGGGATCCCCAGGGTACCAAGCTAATCTCTACCTTCTTCCAGGACCCGGCACCTGTTAAGACCATGACCATCTCTTCTAAGCGGGTGAGTCTTTGTCAAGGTGGGCTGGGATAGGAATGGCATCTGCATCCTCTTAGGATCATGTCATTGGCACAGGAGTGGGGAAACTGAGGCACAGAACAGGAAAAGGAAGGGGCCTGGGACCCTGCTGGCTGCTGTTGGGGGCTGGCTGTGGGGAGGGCACTGACGAGTCCCTGCCCTCACCCTTAGCAACAACTGTACGTGGCCTCAGCTGTGGGCGTCACACACCTGAGCCTGCATCGCTGTCAGGCATATGGGGCCGCCTGTGCTGACTGCTGTCTCGCCCGGGACCCCTACTGTGCCTGGGATGGCCAGTCCTGTTCCCGCTACACAGCATCATCCAAGAGGTGTGTACTCCCAAGCCCATGGGATTTCAGCCACCAGATCCCAGGCCTTGTTCTGGGGTCTGGTGGTAGATGTGACTTTATCCTGGGGGAGTCTGTGGGCAAGATATCACTCTGCCCTGGGGCAATAGGGCCCAGCCCTGGAGTCTTAGGGATACAGGCACCAAGGAGGAGGCACCCTCCTTTAAGAGCTGTCCTCATGCAGGCGGAGCCGGCGGCAGGACGTCAGACACGGGAACCCCATCAGGCAGTGCCGTGGGTTTAACTCCAACAGTGAGTGTGCGGCACCTTGCCACTGGGTGCTCCTCATACCACATGTGGGGTCCATGCAGCCCACATAGCTGGTCACCAGGCCCCCCACTGTAAGGATTCTCAGGTGGTCAGTGGGCTGGGAGGGGGCTTGGGATATTAGAGTGGGATGTCCCTGGCCCCCCTCTTAAGGAGTGATACCCAACAGCCCAGCCCTGCCTTTATGGATGGGTGCCCTTGTACATGCCCCTCGGGGCCTACCCCTTGCTGACTGCAGTCTGCCCAGAAGCAATGGTACATTCACTCAGCACCTTCTTGATACGCAGCCAACAAGAATGCGGTGGAGTCTGTGCAGTACGGGGTGGCTGGCAGTGCAGCCTTTCTGGAGTGCCAGCCCCGCTCACCCCAGGCCACTGTTAAGTGGTTGTTCCAGCGAGATTCTGGGGACCGGCGCCGGGAGGTGAGTTCCCATGACCACAGTCCTGCACCCTGGGTGCAGATAGAGGACCCCTTCTGCAGAGGAAGCTTCACGGGCCTGAGATATGGTAAAGACTAATCTGGGGCAGCCTTCACTCTGTACAACTCCTTCCAGGCTCCCTTCCTTGTATGGAAATTATTTGGATGAATCTTGTTATACGGCAACTCCATGGATGTGGAAAACATTTATAGGCATGCCTCTTTGTGTGAAAATTCCATATGCCCCACTGCTGTATATCTCATTGTATGGAAATGTCATGGGAGTGAGCTCCAGTAGATAGAAATTCTGTTCAGTAACTCTCATTTTATGGAAATGTCTTATGAGCATCCCTCATATGGAAATTCTATGTGGGTGCCCCATTTGGATATTCTCATCAAATGGGAATCCCATGCCTGTATGCTCTACTTCCGTAAAGATTTACAGCCTCAGAAACCCAGTGAGGGTCACCACGAGTCAGAATCGACTCAGTGGCAGTGAGTTTGGTTTGTTTTTGATGCTCTGTTGTATAGAAATTCTCTTGTACAAAACCCCTCCTGACTTAGAAATGTTTAAGGATGCCTTATTCAGATGCTTTTTATTCTATGGAAACCACATGTGGGTTTCTCTTGGGATATGGAAACACCACATGAGTGCCCTTACGTGGAATGACCACAAAGGTGTTCTGATCTGGGCGCTAGCTGGTGGGGAGTGGGTGGTCACACGGCCCCTGACCCCCTACTCCCTGCCCCTGCAGATTCGTGCAGAGGACCGCCTCCTGCGCACGGAGCAGGGCTTGCTGCTTCGTGCCCTGCAGCTCGGTGATCAGGGCCTCTACTCTTGCACAGCCACGGAGAACAACTTCAAGCATGTCGTCACACGGGTGCAGCTGCATGTGCTGGGCCGGGATGCTGTCCATACTGCTCTCTTCCCACCGCCAGCTGTGAGCGCCCTACCACCTCCAGGCGCAAGTGACCCAACACCTCCCTACCAAGAGCTGGCCCAGCTGTTGGCCCAGCCGGAAGTGGGCCTCATCCACCAGTACTGCCAGGGCTACTGGCGTCATGTGCCCCCCAGCCCCAGGGAGGCCCCAGGAGCACCCAGGCCTCCTGAGCTCCAGGACCAGAAAAAGCCCCGGAACCGGCGCCACCACCCACCGGACACATGAGGCCAGCTGCTTGAGCCCTACAGTGGCCCAGCCTAGTCCTCATCCCTTTTAATATAAAAGATATATAAATATATATATATATATAAAAATATATAAAATATCTATATTCTATACACACCCTGCCCCTGCAAAGACAGTATTTATTGGTGGGTTGTATATAGCTTGCCTCAGTGGCAGCATCGTCCAGCACCTGGACCCATGGTGATCAGAGACAGCAGAACACAGAGCCCACCTCACCAGGCCTGGCCAGTGGAGAGGACCAGGCCAGGACCAGGAAGTCCCCAGACTCAGGTGGGAGTCTACCTGCTCAACAGCCACCACCAGGATCTGTGGACAGGGGGAGGGAAGAAGCCCTGCCTGGATGGGGCTGGACTTCGCACCTGTGCCAATGTGTGTGGTCAAGCCTTGCTGTGGCACAGACATGGACTCGAGGACTGCTTTGGAGAGGGGGTGGGAGGGGTGGGCTCAGGTGCACTCAGAGAAGGGAACAAGGGACCGTCACAGGATGCCGGCCCCTGCCTGGGAAGGGGCACTCAGCCGAGGGCAGCACCTTCCTGGGTATTTATTCTCTATTTATTGGGGACAGGAAGAAAGGAGTCCTGCCTGGGTGGGGCAGTCTGTGCAGCCCTTCTTCCCCTTCCTGCCTGTCTAAGACAGAGTTGTCCCATCTCTTAATTTTTCCTGTGCCACCTTGATTTGAGGCTGGGAAAATAGCAGAGGGGCCAGGCATAGGCAGAGCTGAAGGGAGCAAGCCAGCCCTGAGGGGAGAGGGGCTTGGGGCCTGCAAGAGTCTCTCCAGGGCTCTTCCTCTGCCCACCACTCCAGGCAATGGATGTAAATAGCTCTGGGGGCAGTTGGGTAGGTGGGTGGGGGCTCCTGGCAGCCCTCTGCTGCGCAGGCCACAACACCCTGGGATTCCATCTTGCTAATAAACACTGGCTCTGGGACTGGACTCCAGCTTCTCTCCTTGGGGGGGCAGGGAGGCAATGGCTCAGCCCAAGGTTCTGACCCTTCATTTCTGTCACACACCCCCAAACATGGCCTGACCACCAGTTCCAAGACTTCTTTTGCCCCAGCTTTTGTTTGCTCATTCAGTAGTTCAATCATTTCTTCTACCATTGCTTTCTCATGCAGCTTTGTTCCCTGCCTTGTGCAGGGCAATAAGTTCTCAGAATTGGCAAGACAAAGCATCAGCCTCCCACTCCTCCAGCTCTTTCCAGCCCCCTCCCACAAGGGCCCAGCATGAGCACATGCCCACGGGACCTGGGATCAAATACAAGGAGTCAAGTTATGGCAGGGGAAGCAGAGAGCTGGGAAGGCCCATTGAGCCAGCAGAGTTGAGAGCCACATCTGGCACACAAGAGGAGCCAAGTGGTCCCCTCCCCACCCTGCCACCTGCAAAGGAATGGGGTCACCCCCATGCTAAACAAACTCAATATGCAGAAACCAGGGATGGTTGCCTAAGCCCTACATCCTGGGCAGTGTAATGGACTGCAGAGATACCCACCCCGCCCCTAGGCCCACTCAATGTGGGGTGGGATGGGTGAATGGGGAATGAAGGCTGAAAGTGGCACAAATGGAAGAATTTATCTCCCAAACAAATCCCCCTTCACTGAACAGGGTGCTGGGGGCCCATGGTAGGACCCAGTACCTACTTTCCACCTGATCACTTGTGGCCAGCCTTCGATGTTCTGTGCCTGGAGTCCTGGCACCCCCTTGTGGTCTCTCTGATGTACTGCAGAGTTGAGTGATTTTAAAAAAAGCTGCTGGATTTTTTGAAGGGAGTTCAGCCAGAAGGCCCAAGGGCCTCTGGAGAGATGTGAAGAGCCCAGAGCTTGGGTTTTATGATGGGAGGGCTGGTGGTCTCCAGAACCTAGGAGCTCAACATTGTGTGCTCAACCCAAATCTCTTCTGCACAGCAGGACACCCTGGCCCACCTGAACATGCCCCTGGACACCACACCCCTTGGGTAAGGTAGGCAGGCCCTACAGGTACCCCAAGGCAGGCTCTAGAGGACACATGGGACAGAGCAGGGTGGGTGAACCCCACTCCTCCATGCCCCTAGGAATACCAAACCTGCTCTAAGACTCAGTTTCCCCATCTGACAATAGCCTTGCAAACCACTCTCTGGAAGAGCCCCGCTACCTCTGTGGGGCCGAGATTTTGTTGCACCCACATACACATGTACACAAAGGCACAGGCTCGTTTAACCATGCATGCACACACACATGCACAAATGCACAGGAACATGCTTGCACAGGCATATTTGCATGCATAAACATTCCCACAGGCACACACATGCACAAGACACAATGCACATGTGAGTGCACACTCATACATACCATGAATTTGCATGCTTGTGCACACATGCACACACATGAACCTATACAGCCTATGTAAAGTATGTATCTAAGCACATATGCCTAAGAAGAGAAATGCACAAAGCACACACACATATACATGCATGCGTATATATAGACATGCATACACAGGCATATGTGCACACATGCATGCACAAACATATAGCATAGGCACGTGTATACACACAGGCATACACCCACAAATATGTCAAATCACTGCCTTGTTTGATGCCAGTAAAGGACAGACACACAGAGGATGGGCACATCCACCATCCTTCCTCCAGGAAGCATTAGAGGCCCTGCCTGGGTGAGACCTGGCCCTTGGCATGGAGATGATGCAGTGCCCACCTTTTCTCTCTTGAGCTCCCACAGAATATGGGACCCTGGTCCAGCATCACCCAACCATCTCAATTGCCTCCTGCTATGTGACCCTCTGCACCTACACTTCCTCATAAGGAAAATGGGGCTGATGACGCAAGCACTCATTCTCCCAGGGCTGGTGTGAATTTATAGTGAGACAAGAAGCAAAGCTGAGCCCCAGGCTGGGCAGGTTGCAGGTGCTCCACACTTCTGCTCCCCCCTCCTGCTGCCAGCCCCCATCTCCAGGTTTGAGGGCCTCTCTTTGCCTTTCTCAGGATGGCACATGTCTCCCATTCTCTCCAGAGCCTGTCCTGGAGGGTTGAGGCAGGGCACAGAGGGTGCAGAGTCAGCAGTTGAGGGATTGGGGCCACGCCAGCCTCATTAGAAGGGTTGGGGGCTGAGCTGGATTCACCTGTCCTTGTCTCTGATTGGCTCTCAGGCACGCCTAGCCCCCAAATCCCACTAAGCAGCCCCCACCAGGGACTTCACAGATCTGTGGAGAGCCAATTGGTTGCCAGTCCTGGGCCAGAAGGGTGTTGGGGGAGGCCAGAGGCTGGCCAGAGCCTGGCTCTGGGGATCCCTTCCATCCAGAAGAGTTACCTGCCCACGCTGTCCCTTCAGCTGCTTCTGGGACCATGGGGGCTGGGGCCAGCGCTGAGGAGAAGCACTCGAGGGAGCTGGAAAAGAAGCTGAAAGAGGATGCTGAGAAAGATGCTCGGACCGTGAAACTGCTGCTTCTGGGTAGGGGCATGGGCCCAGGTGGGGTCGTGGCCACCAGGTCAGCAGCTTGGGGGCAGGCAGGTGGCCATGCTACAAAGCTGGAATTCCTTGGGAAGCAGAGTGAGCCTGTGACAGGGCAGGTCACAGAGTGGTATTCCTGGCCAGACAAGGCCAGGCCTGACCCATAATGCCTCTCTCCAGATGGCCTGGCCTCAGGCAACCTTCCCAATTCAGAAGTGTATATATTTGTACAAGGCACACTTTTGCCCTGGCTGGGCTCCCTCAAGCTTCAGCTTTTGGCTTGATGGGCCTGTTAGAGAGTCAGAAACCAGGGACCTCATAGGAGCCCTACAAGAGACTGCTCCCTTAGGAAGGAGAAAGTTATAAGCCAGGCGCGGGGAGTCTCTAGAACCACCCAGATCCACAATGACCCTCAGGTGCTAGAGCTGTATTGGTGGCTGACCTTCAAGTCAGGCAAAGGAGGGAAGGGGCACTGAGGCCCAGTGGAGAATCACCAAGGCACGCCTATGGTCCCAGAGGAAGACAGAAAAGGTGATGCTGATCCAGGCCTGTCTCTTGACCCATGTCAGAGCCCCTAAGGGAAATAAGAAGCTGTTTTAAGAAGGTCACAAAAACTCCACCCAGGCTCTCCATCAACCAGTCAGCCAGGGCACCCCAGGGAAGCCAGAGAGACTAAGCTGGGAATCCCATTAACTGTGCCCAGTGCTCTCACAGGGGCAAACTTGGAGGGATTCAGTCAGCTCTGTCCTCCTCCCTATCCAAGGGCACTAATTCCCTCTGAGTCTTTTAGAGACACCCCAGCCACCCTCTGGATGAAAACCAGGGGTTAATCGGCTCAATGAGCCCTGGTGGCACAGTGGTTAAATGCTCAGCTGCTGACCAAAAAGTTGGCGGTTTGAACCCACCAGTCACTCCTCAGGAAAAAAATGTAGTCTGCTTCCGTAAAGATTTACAGCCTTGGAAACCCTATGGGGCAGTTCTACTCTGTCCTATGAGTCTGAATCCACTCTATGGCAGTGAATATAAATTGGACTAGATTGACAGTAGTGGGTTTGGGTGGTTTTTTTTTTTTTTTTTTCCTTTTGCTCCTACTCAAATAATTCCAGGTAGGCAATACCAGATCCTTACACAAGATGGCGTTCTAGGATGTATTTTGGCCTCAGAATAAAGGCTATGGAGTGACTGGGATAGGGCTAGTGCCCTGGCCTCTTCTACTGAAGGTCTGTCCATCAGACCTCAGCCCGCACACCAGACCAGGGCTTATTGTGTCCGTCTCCTGGACCTCATTGATGGTGGAGAAGGGAAGGGTGGTCAGGATGACTCTGAGTGGTGCAAAAGGTGAAGTGCTAGGCTGCTGACGTAAAGGTTAGTGGTTTAAACCAGGCGGCGCCACGGGAGAAAGACCTGGCAATGTGCTCCTGTAAAGATTAAAACTAAACCAAACCTGCTGTCATCCAGTCATTATAAAGTGGCCCCATAAGACAGAGTAGAACTTCTAAGCTATAAATCTTTACAGAAAGCAACTGCTAACTTTTCCATCAGCAGCCCAGTGCTTAACCACTGCATCAACAAGGCTCCTCCCATAAAGATTACAGCTTAGAAAACTCTACTCTGTATAGGGGGTCACTATGAGTGGAAATCCACTCAATGGCTCTTAACAACAATACCAGGAGTCCCTGGATGATGCAAATGGTTAAAGTGCTTGGCTGCTAACCGAAAGGTTGGAGGTATGAGTCCACCCAGAGGCACCTGGAAAAAATATCTGGCAATCTACTGAAAATTCAGCCATTGAAAACCCGCCAATGGAGCACAATTCTACTGTGACACCTATGGGATTATCATGAGTCAGAATTTACTTGACAGCAACTGGCACTGGTATTCCAGGGTCTTGGACTGCAAGTGGGGCTCAGAGGCACAGTTGAAGTTGGGGGTTCCCATTGTTGGTCCCCTTCTGTCTCTTCTGATGTTTACAACTGTTTTTCCTCCAGGGCTGTCAACATTACTTTGGATGGGGTTGGGGCAGATGTGACTGGGATAGGGCTAGTGCCCTGGCCTCTTCTACTGAAGGTCTGTCCATCAGACCTCAGCCCGCACACCAGACCAGGGCTTATTGTGTCCGTCTCCTGGACCTCATTGATGGTGGAGAAGGGAAGGGTGGTCAGGATGACTCTGAGGTGTGGTTTCCCTTCCAGGTGCGGGTGAGTCCGGAAAAAGCACCATTGTCAAGCAGATGAAGTGAGTACCCCTGCTCATCCCTAGGCGTCTGGGGATGGGTGCATGCACCTGCTTGCTCCCTCCCCACCAGCCCACCAGGCTTTAACCCAGCTCTGCCCGTCTGCAGAATTATTCACCAAGATGGGTACTCCTTGGAAGAGTGCCTAGAGTTCATTGCCATCATCTACGGCAACACGTTGCAGTCCATCCTGGCCATTGTGCGTGCCATGACCACACTCAACATCCAATATGGAGACTCTGCACGCCAGGTGCG